TACATAGTGATTCCTGGCCCTCCTGAGTCTGCGAGGTGCTGTGATTTTCTCTGCTGATCAGACACCCAGAGCAGAGGGTGAAAGCAGAGGGTGAGAGTGGGCAGGGCATTGAGGGTGTGAGCAGGGATGTATGCAAGGCCTTGAGGGGAGTGAGGAACATGAACAGAATTAAAGTCCCTCTTGGGGTTGCAGGATGGTGGGACTTGGGGTGATGCTGGGGGGGATTTTGGTGACTAGAGGTTATTCCTGGAGTCCCTCCAACTTCTGATAATGGCAAGGTCCAGGGTAGACCATGGGAGTAACTGAGAGGGGGCATGCACAAAGGGGTCCTATGACCTTTAGGAGCAGAGGTCGAAGCACGGAGAAGACGGCAGGAAGGAGTGTCTGCATGAATACTGAGGTTACAAGAAAGATGGCATGGGAGAGTCAGTAAGCCAGGAGCTACACTCCTGGCTGGCTGGGAGGGAGGGACTGGGGAGGTGAGATCCGTAACCGAGAGCACGCAGTAGGTGTTTGGTAAGGGGGAGCAGCTATTAGCCATGTTTCAGTGACCACAATGTGGCCCCTGGTTGATGTAGGACAGACTTTAGGAATGTGTCAGAACATCTGTAGTGTAGGATTCATGAGCACCTGCTTCTGGAAGCTGTGGTGCCTGCAGCGCCTGCCTTTGTCTGGCTGCTGCAGAATCGGGTACCCTGCCTCTGAGTGTGGTCTGGAGATGTGGGTCCCTGACTGTGGGAGGAACAGAGGAATGGCAGATGAGAGCCCAGGCTGAGCATTGGAGGAGGGCCGGGGTGCAGCGTGGTGACCTAGAACACAGGTCTGGTCCCCTCCTGGGGCAGGGCTACCCATGACTATCAGCTACAATGTTTGGAGCATTTCCCAGGCAACAGGCCCAGGCCCCTCAAGGCAGACTCAGCTGTGGGAGCATGGTGGTGGTGAACAGAGAGGAACCCAGGGTGAGGGCCCCCAGGGCCACTCTGCATTGCCCATGCTCAGTGGCTCAGAGCAACTGGGGATGCTGGAGGACAGGACCCCTCCACCTAAGGTCCAGCTTAGGGGCACCACAGCTGCTTCTCGGTGGGTGTTGCTGCCTTTGATAACTACCATGTTCCAGAAGCACAGAGTTCAAACCCTGGCTCCCTCACCCTACTTGTGTGAACCAGGCTGGTTCCTTGCCAGTCTGAGCCTTCGTTTCTCAACTGTTAAGGCCATTTAATCCCCACCTTTCAGACTATGTGCCAGAGACAGCAAGGTAGGATGGAGGGTGTCATGTTTTAGTAAACTGTGGACCTCGTTTCAGCCAGACGTTCAACTCCCTTAATTTTAGTTATTTAACATTTTACTTTATTTATTTATTTATTTTAAAAAAGATTTAGTTATTTATACATAGAAGAACTGGGGTATAAGCTAGAGGTGCAGGGGGTAAGAGGATTCACAAGAGACAGAGTGGGGAGCAGAACAGGAGGATTCACTGAAATACACTGCTGAGCGGTGAAACAGGAGTGGTCTGCTGTGCCATGTGGGTCACCTCCCTGGGTGGGGATCAAATTCGTGCTGCAGTGGCTGCTAATAGCTTCATAAACCTTGGCGCCACCAGAGAGGTTCCCCCCACCAACACACACACACACACAACTTAGTTTTAGACACAGCTTTTCCAGAGTGGTTCATACATTAACTCCTAGTGCATCCACTCACGTGCGTGCACTCACTCACTCCCTGGGGCTCTGCTTTTCACCTCTGACATGCCGAACTGGGACAAGCGAACCCAGTGGTGTGGCCCGAGGAGGAAAGTCACAGGAGCTGTAGCAAGCCCTTCCTTGCATTTCCTTTGTCTTTTTTGGGTCAGCTCCAGCTGCTTTCCCAGGGGGCCAACCACAGGACTTGTGCTGGTGACAGACACCAGTGCCGTCTGTACCCCAAGGGAGCACATTGCACACAGTGGGTGCTGGGTAACAGAATGAAAGGGGTACAGCCTAGACAATGCCAGGCACCTCTTCTTTGATCTGTTTCCAGCTTCACTCCCGCCTCCAGCTTCTCCAGCTTTGGTTGGGCTGGCTAGACAGCTGGCTCTCAGGGTACAGTAAAGGTCACAGCTGTGTTCCATTTGGGCCAGGAATTCTGGCCACGGCTGTGTCATGGTTGCTGATCACAAGGCCAGTCATGAAGCCTCTCCAGGCTGGGCTTGCTCGCCTGATTCTGCCTGCATTCTTTGGGACAGTATCTTTATCACATGCACACCACAGGACTTTATTCGGGGTGCACTGGCTCAGCACAGGAGTGAGGAGTAGGTGCCATACTGAGGAAGCCTTAAAGGAGCCATATGTGGTCCCCCCAATGAGGGCCCAGCTGGCTTTTATCCAGGAAAAAAGGTAATAAGGAGCAACTCCGGCTTTCCATCGGTATAAATCCCACAATCAGGAAAATTGCTTCAATTGCTAAAAAACGCTGGTGGGAAAGTCCATTTATTTTTCATTTTTCTTGTGCACTTGCCACCCTCATACATGAATCACTGTCGGTGCGTAGATTAAATTTATACCCCCGTTATCTTTCATGTCTCTGGGGCTCTGGTGTCAACTGGGTTTCTGGTTACTGAAGCCACTGCCTGCTTTTTAGCGGTGAGAGAAGTGACCCTCTCCAGACAAGAAGGCTCTGGGGCACTTGGCCTGGCTCTGGGCCCTCCCTCAGCCTCGACCCTCTGTTCTGACCCCGAAGGTCGTGTTTGGAAAGCCCCCATTCTGGGAGCTACTTGCAGCCAAGGGTTTGGACACTGGATTTGGGGCGGCTCATCTGGGAGACTTTGCGCAGGGCAGGAGGAAACCACGGCTTCATTCTTAATACCCGCTGTGCGAATTAGCCAGCAAACGGTGGGCAGTTAGTAACACGCACACAGGCTTCCTTTCTCTTTGTCCCCCAAACACAAGCCTTCTTCTGTGGTGCGGGCCACAGGAGTAGCCCACAGGTGTTGAGGTTCTGGGACGGAGAACCGTCCAGAGCTGGCTCTGCACTCTGTCCTCCATCCTCACATTTAGCTGCCTCCATGCACATCCTCTAAAAGCCCAGTTCTTTATTCACTGCTCTATTTATCCAACAATTGCTAAATGTGGGCCCAGCATCCCCCTGAAAAGCTGATGAAAGCCCAGGCTCCTCCCAGTTTTGAGTCTCTCAGGGATGGTTCACAGAGTCACAGAACCTCAGACTGAGAAAATCTGCTCCATGCACACAATCTCCCCCACAAACCAAGAAGTCGGATGTCCAGGGTCCCCACGAATCAAAGGCCTGAATCCCTCAAGCCCTTCTGAGGCCTGGCCTCAGAAAAGCAGTCCCCTGGTTCTTCAAGTTCACCCCATTAGACATAGAGAGCCCCCCGTCTCTCTGTGATACCATGTCCCTGGGAGGGCCCTTCTGAAGCTGCAGCTGGCCACGCCCGTTCAGGCCCGCAGCCCCCAGCAGGTATCATTACCGCATAAGAGACCCATCATTCTGCATTAATCTGGGATTCATCATGATAGCCATGACCATAATTAATTTATTTGGTATTAATGTGGATGAAATATGTACTGTCCTTTCAGGGGAAATCAGGCTGCCTATAAGCATTAGTTAAAAGGACCATTAAAATCAAACCTTCCCCAGATCCATTAGGCGAAGTCTTTCATCCTGAAGAAGATAAAGTTCTGCTGTGTGAAATGTCATGAATAATTAGGTTGATTGCTGTTTTAAACTCTGCCCCTGCCTCCCGAGCCCCTCCCGCCTCCGCCTCATGGGGAAGGCACACCTGCAGTGGTGCTCGGCTCCCCCCCCCATGTAGACATGGCCCGTGTCTACACTGGCCTTCAAGTTCCCATTCAGCCTCTTCCACTAGTGGCCTTTGTGCCCATGGCCAGAAGGGGGACAGGAGCTTCCATGACCCCATCGGACTATATTTCACTGTGTCTGCTTCAACCCCCTCCCAGGCTTGTCCCGAGGTGATAGCTGGTGACTTCCTCTAGCTGAGGTGTTGGTCCTGAATGGTGTTGACCAGGCAGCATCTGAAGCCGCATTTTTCAAACTGAGGTCTTCAGACTCTGCCTCAAATGATGAAAGGCTTGAAAATGCAGACTCCCAGGCCTTCCCCAGGCTCTCACAGCCCAGGGGCTGTGCAAGGGAAGGGGATGGCAGCTGACCTCAGTGCTAGCTGGAAGGGAGAGGAGAGGGGTAGTTAGCCTCAGGGGACCCCCACTCTGCTGCCCAAATGTGGCTTCTCTGAGCTCCAGTGTGGACCCAGGCGGTGCTGTCTCCTGGCTTCCAGCAGGGATGGTACCTGTGGGTGCTTTCTGCACATCAGTGCAGCCACTGCTGGGCTGCTCCTCACCATGAAGTTGGAGAACCCAGGAGGCAGAGGAAGGAAGAGTTTACTCACTGCTGGGGTAACACCAGTGTCCTCGTAAAATGAGGATTTGTTAATGGACCAGTTGAAGTCTGGGATGTCAGACTTGGGAAAGGTGTTGAAGACTTGAAGACACAAATTCAATCCAGAGCTTCATTTTGTGGGCACAGAGCAATGAGGCTGACTGGAGGCAGCGAGGGCCAGACAGTGAGTGCTGGGGGGCCAGGCACTGATGTTCACAGATGTCCCAGAGTGGAAGGGTGGAGGGGGGAATGGTGGGAGGAAGCCAGAGACCCCTCTACACCCTAATCTTTTCACGCTGCTCTGACAGGCGCTTCGGCACAAAATGCACGGCCTGCCAGCAGGGCATCCCCCCGACCCAGGTGGTCCGCAAGGCCCAGGACTTCGTCTACCACTTGCACTGCTTTGCCTGCATCATCTGTAACCGGCAGCTGGCCACAGGGGACGAGTTCTACCTCATGGAGGACGGGCGGCTGGTGTGCAAGGAGGACTACGAGACAGCCAAGCAGAACGGTAAGGCCCTGGCTTGCACGGTGCCTCCTCCGGGCCTGCTCAGGCCATGCCCTCTGCCAGATGAGCCCTCTGTGGCTCTGAGCTGCCCAGCCCACAGAGCCTGAGCCCACCCTTCCCCTGCCACTGGGTGGGACCCCCAGATCCCTGGGGGAGAGTAGACACACTCCTGGGTCCTTGGGTACTGGCTGGATTCACTGAAGCATTAACCAAGTTACAGACACTGATGCGGGCCTGTTCCCCACACTATTTGGCAGGCCTAGGAGTCTCAAGGGACCTGCGGGCATCAACTTGGTGGCTTCTTACCTGGGATGAGGCTAGGAGAGTGCTCAGTCTACAGGGGACAATTGAGGTCACTCCCTAGTCATGTGTATCAGGGTGTGCAGTTACCTCAGTCCCCCACAATCAGAGGCTTCAGTCAGCGAAAACCCTAGCATTGGCTGAAGTTGCCCTTTGAAGGGGTGTTGGATTATTGGGTTCTATTTTCCCTCTTGCACTGTAGGCCGGGCTTCTCCAGAGCAGGGGCTTGGAGACAGTGATGCCTGTGTGTCCCCGAGCTCTGACGCTGCAGGCAGGGCTTGCTCTGTTTTCACATTCAAAAGACTCCAACTCCTGAAATCCCTCCCCCCTAGAACTACTGTCCAGGGTCCAAGCAGAGACTTGCTGTCAGCTGAGCTGATGTCAGGTGCGGCCTTCAGCAACCACACCCAGCCTGGGCACTGTATTACCCTCCACTGCCATGTCCTCATGGAAGCCCAGGTCTCTCCAGCGCCTGGGCAGGGTCAGCGCCCCCAGGCTCTCTCGAATCCCAGTGTGAAAGCCAAGCCTGACTCCCCCTCCTGTAGCCCCACCTCTGCCACCACCATTGTGCCCCAGCAGGTGTCCCTCCACCTTAGCTCTGGCATCTAGCCAAGCTCCACCTGGGAATCTCAGATGCACAGACAGAGGACACATCAAGGCCTTTGACTAGAACTGATACCAACTCAGGGTGTTCCTGGGAAAGCAGCTCTCATCGACAGCTCTGGGCTTGATGAGAAAGTAAAGCAACAGTAATTTCATGTATCTCCTTCCAGATCTTTCCTGGACCCACACACATATGCTGTGGGGTCTGACCAATGCATGGAGAAATTAGTTTTTCTCTTAATAAGCACTTTTTAAAATACAGGGTTTGGGGTGGAGGCAGGTCACTCACAGGGCCCTAGGGTGAGGCTGGAGTGTGCTTGGCTTTGGTGGGAGGGGGAAGGATACAGGGGTGCTGTCATTGGGGGGTTTCCTTCCCCTCCTCCCTCCACCCCCATTACCCTGGCCTTTCAGGATACACAGTCCTTCCATCTCTGTCCTTCTCTTTCCTGGCCTCGAAAGCCCGTTTCTAGGCTCTGTCTTCATGTAGTAATCTGCTGGACTTCCTTAAAACTCACCCCATGCCTTTGCTTGGAGTTAATTATGATATCACAGAAGATTAGGGCATCATGTCAGGAATAAAACATCAAAGCAGACAGACTCAAGATCCTGACTGGAACTCGGATGCCTCTGAAACTCAGACTCCTCTCCCCAGAGACTTGAAGAACGTAAAACTTCCTGCGCTCACTTCTGCTTCTCCTTGTCAGAGGCCTCACTTAGCCCTGAGTTCTTCTGGCACTGCAGCTACTTTGAGGGACTCAAGACAAGGGGGGCGGGCACGGGGAGTCCAGCTGAAGAGGCCAGTGTGGCGTAACAGGGTTAATCCTTTTATGGGGGGTGCTTGTGTCCTAGCACAAGGCCTCTGTGGGACAATGGAAAGATACAGGTTTGGCTTTAGGGGCCTGTGGGCTTCCCTCCCAGGCCTCTCACTAGCATGAGGGTCCCTTCATAAGCTGTGGGATCCTCCAAGCAGCAGTTTCTCACCACATATGGGGTATGGCAGGGCCAAGGAGGACTCTTTGCGAGGCCTAACTAGGACACCGCTGTCTCATGGCATGTCAAGTGAGGGGAAGGCCAGCACGTGGGCATGCGCACAGGGACAGGCCTGCTGCAGCCTTCAAGGAGCTGATGGCACAGCCCGTTTCGGATGTGTCCCCTGCCTCCGTTGGGGAAGTTGGGAGGATCCTTGCAAAGCAGGGCTATGTGCCTGCTGTGGGACATTGCGTCTTGCTCTTTAATTCTGCCTTGCTAAATGAAACCCTCTCTCAGGCTTGCCTGTTCCTTCTCCTGTGCTAGACAAAGGACCTCATATCCCCTATTTGTCCCTTCCAGTGGATGGTTTTGTTCATTTATTACATCTCCCTGGATATTTGCATTTTCAATATAATGAGGTTGCATTTTATGTAAGGACAAGTGTGAGAAGACCCTGCATAATTCAAAATGAACATATTTTAAGACTAATTTTCCCATGGGAGTTAATGTAAAAAGTAGAGGGGGATGTGTTCTGGGAGCACATAAATCCATAACCGGTGAAGTGTATCTTTGCCTTAATGCTACTTTTTATTTTCTCAGCACTATCTCTCATGGCTCACAGAATGCTCTCTCCTAAATTAACAGCCCAGGGTAGCACCGGCTCGTTCGGCCTTCCTCAGAGCATTTTTATCACATTTAACTTCCGTACCAAAGCTATTGATTTTTGGGTACATTTTTCAGCATGAGCATTGCCACCGCTACTTAATGAATACTTGGATGACATTGTTATAGGGTATAAAAAAGATTTTAAATTATAATAACCATGAATGTTAAAATAACAGCATAATAGTCCTCCTAATCACGAGAAGGAAGTCCTGAGCGTGGCGGCTGCAGTGGGCCACCTACAGGGTGACCCGCCAGCAGCTGTGGGCACAACCGCCAAGTCACCAGGCTGACCTATTTTGAAATTAAGCGCAGCTTGAATGAAAATTTGGGGTTTTTCTTTCAGGTTTCAGACAGAAGTCTCTATTCTTGTTTAGAAGTGCAGGATTTCCACTGGCCTCCGGTGCCGTCGTCTTTATAAATGTGGGCGATTAAAGAGCTTGGGAGGTTCTGCTTGTCTTGCCACAGTGGCTCTGGAACGCTTCCTCCTAGGGTTCAGGATGCCAGGAGGAACCGGAGGCAGGGGCCCAGAACTGCAGTGGGCAGTGGCCCTGCTGGAGGTGAAAACAGGCAGGAGGAGGGAAGACTTGGGCCCTTAGCCCTCCTCCTCCTCCAGCACGGAGCTGTGGGGACTCAGGGTGCACAAGGAAGAGACTTGCCACCCCCATGCGCAGGCTTCAGGGTGAGGTGACTTGCTCACGTCACTCAACAAAAATGCTGGACCCCGGTTCTGGTCTTCTGACTCCAAGGAAAGCTGCTTAGAACTGCCTGGAAGGGCACATGCGTGTTAAGCTCCTAGATCAACACAAGGCCGCAGCAGGCACTTAGTGAGTGCTGGCTGCTGTTACTGGTTTCCAAGAGGGGGTTTTCTTGAATGGAAAGGAAGGTGAAAAGAAAGGGAGGAAGGAGACACTTTCAAGGACATAGGGTGGGGGTGGGGAGCCAGCGACCCTGCAGCTGATTTACTCTGTGGACCCAAGGGTGCTGTGCAGAGAATGGGCATAAGTATAAGTGTGGGAGAGGAAACAAACCGTTTGCTCTCGGCTGTGAGCTACTTCTCAACAGTGCAGGTGCCTCTCTCAGTGGCTTCTGAGAACAAACCAGCCTTTGACTGACAGGAAAATCAGGTGTTTCTGGTGAAATCCAGGGATGATTTCAAACAGTTCTATGATCCACAGTAAGAAATGCACTTTATATCTCAATGCAGTACACACATTTTGTCCACTAAATAACATTCATGAAACTTCTATTCAGTGTTATTCTAGTCTGTTCTATTCTGTGCTATCCTGTTCCATTCCACCCCACCCAATCCCATCCCACCTCATCCTATGCCACCCCATCCCATTTCATCCCTTCCCTTTCCTTCCTCTCCTCTCCTCTCCCCTCCCCCACCCCACCATCACCTCTCCTCTCCCATCCCATCTTCCCTCCCCCTACACCAGCTGTCCTTCTTCCCCTCCCCCTCCCTCCTCCCCTTCCTTCCCTCCGCACCTCACCCCAGGCCACCCCACTCCTTTCTGCTCTGTTCCACTCTATACCCCATTCCACCTCAACCCATTCTGTTCATCTTATTTCCTTTCAGTTTTTGATGAACTAATCTGAACTTGCAGCCCACTAGTGTGCTCTGATCCATGAGCTCATAGACGCTGGTCAGACCCACGAGCTCATCGGATGAGTGAATGTGCAGGCCCCCCCAGCTATGAGCCCCGGGGAGCTGTGCTGTAGGACGAGGGTTGGGGTGTCGGGGGCACCTCAGAACAGACTTCACTCAAGCCATGGTGTGACTCACGGGCACATCCAGCAAGAGTGTCACTACAGGGACGTGGGTAGGGAAACCTGGACCTGAGGACAGAGCCTGCCGGCAGGGGCAGGGGGCAGGGACAGGCCGGGGCTGGCACCGGAGGAGGCTCTGAGGGGTGAAGCTGCTCTGCTCTGACATCTCCAGTGCTTTCCACACCTCTGCTGTAGTGGGCAAGGTTGCTTGAGGAAAAGAGGGCGCAGGGAGGAGACCCACTGCTTCAGGTAGACAGACCCAACAGGAAGTGGCTTCCTTGCAGATGACTCAGAGGCTGGAGCCAAGCGGCCCCGGACTACCATCACAGCGAAGCAGCTGGAGACGCTGAAGAATGCCTACAAGAACTCCCCCAAGCCTGCCCGGCATGTGAGGGAGCAGCTGTCCTCGGAGACAGGCCTGGACATGAGGGTCGTGCAGGTGAGACCTCTGCTGCCCCCGCCCCCAGGCTCCTTTGCCTGACCCTAGAGCCACCCTCCTGAAGGACCCAGGGCCCCGGGCGGAGGGTGTCCTGAATGCTCAGTGTGCCCCCCCTCTACGTGAGGGAAGCTTAGGGGGCTCTTGTGATGTCACTTCATCAGTGCTCACTGACCCCCTGGGGACTGGGCCTAGGACCGTGATCTTGGGAAATGTGCCGAAACAGGAGGCGGACTTCTGTGGCTCAGACAGGGGCAGGGTGGCTCTGAACGTCATGAGGCTGCAGGCTCTGTGCCAGCCACCTGCCTTGGGCCCCTGGGGTGCTTTGGGCCCATGGTGGACACCCTGAGTATGTCCCTTGTACTTGTGTGGCAGGTTTGGTTTCAGAACAGAAGGGCCAAGGAGAAGAGACTGAAGAAGGATGCAGGGCGGCATCGCTGGGGGCAGTTCTATAAAAGCGTCAAGAGGAGCCGGGGAGGCAGCAAGCAGGAGAAGGAGAGCTCTGCAGAGGACTGTGGGGTTAGTGACAGTGAGCTGAGCTTCCGAGGTGAGCAGGGCTGGAGGGGTGAGGCCGAGGCCTTAGGAGAGGCCCCTGGGAAACAAGCATTCAGACAAGGGAGGGAGCTTTCTGGGGGTCTTGGCGACGCCCTCCTTCACAGGTTCCCTGTGACTTGCAGTAAAGGGCCATACTGTGTAGTGGCCCTGTAAGATGTGGAAGATGGGATCCTGGGGACCAGGACCGTGGGCCCTAAGGCCTCCCCTCCTTTCCTGCTGACTGGGGCTCCCTCACCAGCCAGTGCAGCTGGGAACAGATAGCAGGGTCTTGTGCCTCTAGCCCCTCTCCCATGCACCTCCCCTCTGCAGGCGAGGTGGCCCTCCTCCCTTGCTCCCCTAGAGCAGCCCCAGGACTCCTCCTGGAGGCGGGGAGGACATGTTCAACAGGCCCTTTCCCCTGGGGCTGTGAGTGCATGAGAGAGAAGACTGGCCTTATTTCTGAAGTCTCTTCCCCCTACTGCTCACTTCATCTGCTTCGCATGTGCTATATATTCAAATGTGTGCATCAGCAAAATTTGCAAATGAGTGCATGCTTTGAATGTTCAGGTTGTTTGCAAGTAGCCATAACTGTTCCCATTTATTGAGTCCTCAAATGTGGAGGGAAGGCCTTCTGCTGTGGGAGAAGGAAGCATATGGGTTGGGGCTCAGGTCTCCTAGATGACTCTGTCAGATTGATTCCCTTGTCCTGAGCCCTCAGTTTCCCCATCTGTAAATGTGGAATAACCACATCCCTGCCCATCTCACAGTGTTTTGGGGATCAACACCAACTAGGAATGTGCTTGAAGAAGGGTCGGCACATTTTTTCCTTTGGAAGACATAACTGTCCTCACAGGAAGCCTGTGGCTCCCACAAAGGGCTCTGTCATATAGGATGGCACAGGCAGAAGGCCAAGTGGGGGCCATTCCACAGTGGAACTTTCATCTTCTGCTCCCTTTCGAGGTCACGAGCTCCCCCCACCTTTTTCCAATTTTGTGGGTGGGAGGGGGCAGGCTCTAGGAAGTCTGTCAGGGGGCTGGGTTTAAGTCTCTGGGGACGAGGTCCTGACTGAATGGATGTGCCCAGGTGGGGCTAGAGAAGCAGTTTGTGGGGTAGAGACTAAACTGCCCACCAGGGCAGGACCCCGTGAGAGGGCTCAGCCTGCAGGTCAGCTCTGGGGTGCTGGGTCAGGCTCCCGGAAGCCACTTTACTCATCAATGTCTGGAGCTGAGGGCTGCTCTGTCTTATTTGGTAGCTCATTTCTCTGGGGTGCAGGGGGCTCCCAGGTTGACATACCATTGTACTTGGTAGGTAATTCTATAAGCCTTTACTCCTTAAGATGAAAACTGCTCACCTGTGTTGGACAGATGACTTCCTCCAGGGAGCAAAGATCCCGTTAGCTCCCCTTCATGAAATTCTACAAGAAACAAGGAGGCCTTAATCAGACCAATACTTTGTCCCCAAAGAAGTGTTTATTTGAGAAGGAGGGAAACCAAGTCCTTTGACAGTGAACCTCATTTCCAGGTAGATCAGGGGCATTTTCGTCACATCTGAGAGGCCTTCAGTGACCCTCACCCTGTGGGCCTGTTTGTTTCTCATTTTCTCACCTTGAAAGCGTTCCTGTTTATCTTGTCAGCACCAGGTCTCCACTGCTATGGGGGTGCCCCCTCCCCACCCCCGCCTAGGGCACGCTCATACCATATGGCAGGAGCCACAAGGACCAGTGAACTCTCTGGAACATAGGTGCTCCTTCTATTCCCCTCTGTCTCTGGATGCAGGCTGACATACTGGTTTCTGTCTGCGGCATGGCAGAGAGGTAGCCGTCCCCTTGGGAGTCTTTCCTGGGTCTGGGTATTCCTAGGTGGTGAAAAAGGGACTGCCATGTCCCAGCAGCTGACAATAAATCTCCATTCTTTTGTCCACAGAGGATCAAATTCTCTCAGAACTTGGCCACACCAATAGGATTTATGGCAACGTGGGGGACGTTACAGGTGGACAGTTAATGAATGGGAGCTTCTCCATGGACGGGACAGGACAATCCTATCAGGACTTGAGGGATGGGAGCCCCTATGGAATCCCCCAGTCTCCATCCTCCATCTCGTCCCTGCCATCCCACGCTCCTTTGCTCAACGGGCTGGATTACACGGTGGACAGTAATTTGGGCATCGTTGCTCACGCGGGGCAGGGAGTCAGCCAGACTCTGAGAGCCATGGCTGGGGGCCCCACCTCTGACATCTCCACAGGAAGCAGTGTAGGCTACCCCGACTTCCCAACAAGCCCAGCCTCCTGGCTCGATGAAATGGATCATCCTCCTTTTTAAAGCTCACTGCTCCCCACCTTAACCCTTCTTCTGGCTTGAGAATATACCTTGATGGATCAAAAGAGACTTGCCTTTTAAGGATCAAAGTGCGCCAGCGTGAATTTCCATTATTTTCAATGGAAGTCCTCCCACAGCGGTCTGAGACCACATGGGGCTGTTTTCCTGGGGAAGTGGGGGAGAGCAGCCTCCTTCAGGAACACAGCACAGGGGCTCAGAGCCCGGAGCTAGGCTGCTGGCTTAAAGACTGCCTCCCCCGCCCCCACCCTGCTTACAGTCTTTGGCGGCCCAGAGCTCCAGAGCTCGGGTAGGAGGTGACTTTGTCTCGCCCTCCAGGCCTCTGGGAACTCTGCTCTGAGCATATGGACCAGCGCTCTCACCAGGCCCCAGGGCCCCAGGCAAAGGCTTCTCGGGCCTTGAGTATGATACAAGTGAGTTCCAGACACCCTTATCAAACTCTAACTTTCAAAATAAAAAAGTCCCTTTTTAAAGGTCAGTGAACACTTCGATGACCACACCTTGATATTGAAAACCTGCCCCACCTTATTATTATTTTGCTTTTTTTGCTGTGAAAATATGACTTCTTCCTTACTTGGAAGTACCAGGCGGAGAAAGTTCTTGTCAGTTTGCTTTTTTGGACAGCCCATCCATCTCACTGAGTCCCTGATGGCAGGAAATGTGGGTGATCGCTGAGGCTGCAGCCCAGCGGCCGGGACCATCCTAGCTGCTGCTCTGCATGGCCCCTCTGTGCACAATGTGCCTTTTTTAATTTGCTTGTGTCATTTCTTCCACAAGGCAGGCTGCAGGTTGCAAAATGATCAACACTAAAATATGGAGAGAACAGAATGACAATCAGTACAACATTTGTAGACACAGTTGGATTCTGAACGTGCTGTCAGGCCAGACCAGCAGATGCCGGTCTCCCCAGTCCCTGTCTGTAGGGTGCACTGCCACTGAGTCTGTTTGCGGGGAGCTGATTTCCATGAGTTTGCAAGCCCAGCCCCACCTGGAACGGCCCTCCCCAGTCCTTTAAAAGCTGCGCCAGCTGACTCAGTTGGAGGCCACTTTTGGTCTCTTCCAAGGATGAGCAGTGCTTTTTGGCCTATCTTGGCTGGGAGGAACATTTGGGGAGTAGCTCTAACATTGTCCAAAGGATTAGGCTGCATCTCTCGGGGTTGCTGGCTGGACTCACCCCTGGTGCTGCAGAGCTCCTGCCCTGCGTGAGGAAAGCAGGGCTCCCGGCCAGTGGCAGTGCCAGGGTGCTCATCTCGTGGCTTGCAGTAGCACATTTCTAAGACTGAAGCCAGGGCAAGGGCACCTCTGATTAGCCAGCTGACACACTCCTGTGGGTGACCGGGGTGTGATCGGTGCCGCCCCTTCCCCACCAGCTGTATGCACACACACCTGTCCCAGGAGTTCTCCTGTGGAGTCTGGAGTCTAGCCAGGTGGAATTTACTGAGAAATGGTGACTTGCTATTTGGGCCTCCCACCCTCTTAAGCAAGATCAGCAGAGCAGGAAGGGATGAGAAGGTATGGCTTCTGTTTCTCAAGAATTGCTGGGACCAGCGACCCTAAGGATCCTAACCTCTGTGAATGGTTCTTCACCTTTGACCACTGCAGATTTAGGGGGCCATAGAGACAGATTAGAGGAAGAAACAAACACTTCCTCTTTTGCAAATTCCTTTCAGGACTAAACTGAGGCCAGTTCAATAAATCCCAGTCAGTAAATTCCTGGGATCAACCTTAGACCACCTTTTCTTTGTTAATTTTGCAGTGCACCCTTATTTTCTGATGTGCTGTAATTGTCGATATTTTTGCTGGGGAGGGGGCCCTGTGAACCAGACTCTCGTTGAGGTCCACAGGCAAGGATGATAGTGGGTTAAGCCCCCACCTCATTCTGGAAACATTAGGGGTGGGGGTGGACACAAGCCATGTGAAAGGGAGGAAAATGCAGCAGTCTCTTAGAGGACAGAGTCTTAACGACATTGCTCTTAGCAGGCTGCTCACAATACACAGGCCGCTCTGGCTATGCACCGATTAAAATCCCTTCCCCCCCAGACCCTGTCTTCTTGGCTCGATTACTTGGCCGAGTATCTCATGAGGGCTCAGAGGCACTTGATATTTTTGGTGAGTATAGTGGGGGGAGCGGGGAGCAGTTTCCTTAAAGCTCCCACACTCACTCTGTGTAGTACCATTTTTAAAGATCAGTTGAAATGGCCATTTTAAATTTTCATATGTGAAAACATACTCATGTGTCCTCCCTCTGCAACATCTGGAGGGTGGAGACTCTCACTCACTAATATTACAAGTCTCCTGGGAACTCAGTGAGTGGGGTGCTGGTTTGCTGGGCTTTGCTGGCAGCACTGGCCAGAAAGCCTGGAGAGCTTGATAGAAGTTCCGCAGAGTCACCTCTGCCCCCCCAGGGCTACGTCCCCAGAGAGCAGCAAACACTGGGGTCCCATTTAGAAGCACAGCCTGAATAGATCTCAAATTTATAGGGGGCTTCCTTGCGAGTAAGTTTAGCTTATGGACGGATCAGTGGCACCAAGGAGCCACTCAAGCCACGCAATTCCTTGGCTCTTCTGTGGCTCGAGGTGGAGAAAAACAGACCAACACCGTGAATTCCCTCATGGACACCCCTGTTCTTGGTCACTGAGGCCCGAGGTGCTGTGTGGAGTTGTTCATCCCTGGCTAAAAGGACATGTATGAATTTTAAAATTGCAAAGAGACCTTCCGAGCCATTTGCAATAGTTGGACCAATCTTTGGCTCTCAGAGGGCAACTAACTAGCAACCACTCTGTACAGTGCCTGGCTGGCAGACCTTAGAGTGGGCGGTTTCTGACTCGAGCAATTTAAAAATTTAAAACAAAACAAACAAAACCAAGTTTCTCCTGGTAACTGGTATCAGCAAAAACGGCGATGGAGGGGCTACAGAAGAAAAATCATATAATTACAGAGGTGGCAATTCCCAGGGCAGAGCAGCCCACTGAGTAAGTCACACTGTTGAGAAGCCCCAGTCCCGGCTCTGGCAGCGACTTTCCGTGCAGCCTGAGGAATCCCCTTTTCATCTTGCGCTTTCTGTTTTTGCCGCAGCTGATAGTTACGAGTACAGTGTAAAGAGGTAGCATTATTCCTGCAAGTGAATACAGCAAAAGATCAGGGAACAGGGGCAAAATTAAAACTTGAAAGCATTTGGTAGTGTCTTTAAGAGGATTTTTCTTTCTTCCTCTCCATATAAAACATGAAATCTCGCGAGACCATCGGGAATCACCAGAGCTTCATAATTAAGTTCACTTTGTAAGAAGTGTGATGAGTTTGTAGGAAAAGACAGGACCATCTCTGAAGCGCAAGCTGGGTATTTTGAAATAACTGCCCCCTGGCAGCAGGGGCTTTCCGGTGCCAGCTTAGCCGCATGCAAAGCGGTGCAAAGCGCTGGACACCCTCTGGCGCCTGCACACCCCTGCACACCCCTTCCCACCGCCACTACTGACAACTTGGTTATCGCCATGGAAATAATGACCAGACCTCTTCGGCCAGCAGGGCCTGGAAGGACCGAGGAGGCTCATTTTTAAACATTGCACTTTAAAAATTGGAAACCGTGAGATGAAGAAAAATTCAATTAAGCGGAAATGAGTTTTGTTTTATTGCCTGCTGCTGAAGGGCTCTGGGCATGCTGAAAGCTAAATAAAAAGCACATCACTGGCTCTCTCTTTCTTGGATTGGTCCGTTGGCCCTTTTTTGCAGTCGTTGCTCCAACTGCTCTAACACGGAGACTGGAGCCAAAAAGAGAGAGCACGGCAGCGTCATCCCATCCACACACCGCTTGGTAGGACCACACGAAAGCACACTTGCACGCTGCTAGCTCTGGTGAGGAGACCGCTGCAGGGCTGGGAGGTGCGCCAAGCAGTCCTTTGCTTAGGGAGCAGAGGTGGGTGGGGAGGACGGCCACACTCGCCCCCGCCCACCTAGAGACAAGAGTCACTCCCGCGTGCCCCCAGGCCATGCTATGTCATACCTGCGGGGGGCGCCGCGGGGTCCCGGCAGGGGCTCCGATCTTGCATTCAGACCTCAAAGCCCCCAGACCCCCTAAGCTCTGGATTGTTGCCCTCATCCTTCGCAGTGTAAATTTTGTACAGTTAAAAAGAAATGGAGTCTCATTTCCTGAAAAAAAAAAAAGAGAAAAAGAAAAAGAAAAAAAAAAGACCCACCCCTCTTATTTATTGCCATGTGACTGTGGACCACAGGAGCTGGAGCGTGTGTTTGTATCTGCCTCCTGCGTGTTGGCATGAGACGTGTATGGTACAACTATGTCAAATAAATA